ACCTTTTAAGCAACTTTCACATCACAACTTTTCCAACCTTCACCCCCAAACTTAGGCTTTTAGCCTATGTTTACACTCTCAAAGTACTTAGGGAGGTAGAATGCCAAAAGATAGGTCAATAAAGAACGAAGGGTTAAAGCTTGTAACATGGTTGCTAAAGAAAAAGTTTAACGGCTCAAAAGGGGTTGACTAGGGAAAATATGCAAGGGTAGGAAATTTAAGGCACAATAACGGTCCAACGAAGGCCTAACATCATTTTTCAAACCAAGTTAGTCTAGGATTTTAACTTGAAGCGCATTCCAGGCAAGCTCTAGACTACAAATAATGCAAAAGAATTCACAACAAATCTCACCACACATGGCACATGCAAACTCGAGTGACATAAATCCAGAATCCAATTAAAACCAATGAACCCAAAGAAAATTATATATAGCCTAAAAGACTATTTAATGAATCAAAGAGCCAAAAATAGAACCTAAAAGTCACAATAAGGATTATCACTTCAATCATTTTTCATTTTAAAGATCAAAACTTCATATGCCAAAGTTTAAATCAGGTTGGTACCGAATAAGCCACACGTTGGTTTATGGACAAAAGATCACAATCACTTCAATCATTTTTCATTTTAAAGATCAAACTTTATATACCAAAGTTAAAATCATGTTGGTACCAAACAAGCCACACGTTGGTGTATGGACAAAATATCACATCCAATAACTAATTTATTCACTACTAGCTGCTAAACTAACTAAAAAAATACTTACTTAAAAAAAAGAAAAAAACTAAACAAGACAAATCCCTTAAGAAAGTTGTCACGCCATCCATCATAGGGAAAAGTCACCCGGTTCAATACAAAAATATTCCTCGGGAAAGAACCGTAGCATAAAGAAAACCAAAGGAGATCTATTGAAAAGTATATTACTACTAGAGAGATAAAATAATATAAACTAAAAACTACTAAAGGAATAAAAATAAAAATAACTAAAAACTAATAACGAAAATAAAATAACAAAAGTGACAAATCCACCACTATATTAATCACAACACAAGCCCGACAAGGGCACACAATATCCATACAAACTCATTATCCCGACAAGGGCATAAGTCAAGAATAAATATATAAATAAAGTGTGTCACCCCCAACTAAAATAATTGCAGTGTCCTCACTGCACAATATCAAAACAAAAAGTATAATAGTTAGAGGGGCTCCCTGAATCGGCCTCAGTCGGAGCTGGAGGTGGAAAGAAATTTGAGCTCCTCCTCCTCATCATCATCATCAGAGTCATTTGAACTGTAAAACGACCTCAGCATATCCATCATTTTGTTTAGGAATTTGCTCTTTTTCTCTTCGTGATCCCTGAACTTTCTCTGCCGCTTCTCAATTTTCCCTTGTCGGTGGCTCATATTTTCCAACCTGTTGTTCATGGCCTCCATCTTGCCCGTTATTGATTTTTGCTCTTTGACCATGTCATCCAGGGATGGTGGGGTAGCAGTACCAGTAGATGTGCTAGCCCCAGATGGGCCAGTAGGGAGGCTGTCACACCTCCTTTTTTACCTACACCCCGGAAGGGAGTATATAAGGGAGTTTTTTCCAACTTAAAGTGACAATCGAAACGGGATTAACAAATTCAGAGTCACCACTTGGGATGATTTATGGTGTCCCAAGTCACCAATTTTAAATCCTGAATCGAGGAAAGATTGACTCTGTTATTCAATTTGCGAACACAGAAATTCAGGTAAGGAATTTTGTTAACCCGGGAGAAGGTGTTAGGCATTCCCGAATTTCGTGGTTCTAGCACGATCACTCAACTATCATTTTTGGCCTATTATCTGATTTTAATACATGTTTTAGCCTATGGTGTGATTTTAGTTTTATAACCACTTTTATTTAATTATTTTTTAGGAAGATTTCAAAGTCATCTAAAACACGTCTTTGGACCACGCCACATAAATGCACCCGCGATCCATGACACATTTTATTTAACGTTGTTGAGATTCGGATTTGGATCACATGAAATGCACACCCGAGTTTATGAAAGTAATTTTTAAAATAGCGCGCCTAAAGCAACTACGCACTTTCAAATTTGTGAGGGCCATGGAAAATCAACTAAATGGCACGCCTCGATTTCTAGGATTAAAATATTAGTTAAGCGAGGTCCATGAATTTTGAGATTTTGTTTGACATGGCACGCCTCGAATTATTCTAAAGGGTTTTACTCAATTGAAGCAAACTAAGGATATTCATAACTTTTATGTCTGCATTTTTAAGATCTCAAACAGTAATAACGTAATAGAGGCTTGTTTTCCAGCTCTAAGACTAAAACATTCTTCTTTTCCCACTAAAGCAAGGATCACATCTGAACACATATACTTTATATTCTCATGACGTTTCTCAAAAGGTATCATTACCTTCTTCAAGAGTTCCAAGAATATGATCAAGATTAAGTAATCAGCTACTTCCTAAACTTGACAAAAAGCTACTTCCAAACCTTAGCACCATAAGATCACTGACTAAATAAATAAATAAAACCAGCATATGGGTATTAAAAATGTTAAACCAATATGAATACACCCCGACTCGGACTATCATTTAAGAAATCGAATTCCAAATTTTGAGAAAAATATACAACACTGCACATTAACATGAAAGCATTAAACTAATCAGACGAGAAGTATTAAGTAGCAAAAGTTTTTGGTGTTAGGATTTAGCTCATATACTATCTCTGTTGAGATTAATCTAATTACCAACCCAAATGCCAACCAAATGAACAAACCAAATAGACCTGCAAAGGTATTGATCCCTCAAATCAGAATTTTTAACATAACCAACTGCTTTCAACAAATTTTAATCAATAGTTCACTTCAACGAAAACAAAACAAGCAACTAATTCATACATCTCAAATGACCCTTCATGATCATTTCACCAATCTTCTGAAAATTTTAACGAGAAGGAGCACATGTTTAATCAATCTTGACCACAAGAATATCACTTCCGTGCATGGGATGCCAAGCAACTGCTCACAAATGCAACAGATGCACAGTTTCAAGAATATGGAACTTAAAACTGCATTTTAACATGAGGCAGGGATACGAATTGGCGCAAGCATCGAATAGAAACTAGACAAAGCAGAAAAATCAAAGCATCAATACACCGAAGCTAAGTCGATCACCCATAAATGGAGTTACAACCTAAACACTTTAATTTCCAATCGCTCATGTTCAAACATATCAATCCACCAAACCGAATTTCTAACAACGAAATAGAATATCAGACATTGTTCTTAAGCACAAATTGAGACTACAATCACAGTAACTAAGAGAATAGGGCATCACCATATTTCAATCACAACAATATGAAAGTAACATCTAGAATAACAGAGGAATGGAGAAAAGATGAACCTGTTTATTCGAAGTTCTTTTAATAACAATAGAAAAATCAGCAGATACAATGTTTTGGTCCAAACTCCAACTGAAAAGAGCAATGTTATCGAGCAGAAACAGCAAGCCAAATCGAAACCACGAACCTCGGACGGAACTGAAATCGGTGACTTCGCGACTGAACATAGACCTCACATGTACTGGAAATGAGCTGATGGAAAACATGTATATTTGGTCAGATCCGTTATCCTCGTCGCAGCAGTAATAGAGAAAATGGATAAACGAGGGAGAAAGAAGAACAATAGTCATCGCCGGAGCTCGAAACCAAACAGATCGGCATTCAAGCTTCACTGTCCAATCTGAACCTTCCAGCCAAACTCCAACGATAAGTATCGATTTCTCCAACCAGTGGAGCTCCGTTTGGTTGCGGCTGTAGGTTGTGAGTGTGGTTGCTGGCCGGAGTTCAAGTCAGGGAGGGGATAGAGTGAAATTTCGTTGGTTTTGGAATGGAGAAGATGACTAACGGGGGGTCATTTGGGAGAAGACGGAGTCGGGGGTACGATTTGTTTTTTATTTTGCTCAAATTGCGGCCAGCTCTAGGTTAACTCCTCATTTCTGTTTAAGAAGAAGCTGATGGGTCTGTTCCATTTCCTAAACAAAACGCTGATAGCTCCTTCAGTGTATATCCCAGGCGTTATTTTGTGATCCCCCTCTCATTGTAGGCGTTAGTCTCTAATATTGGTCTAGGTTTTAGGTGTATTTTTTTGTGTATTTGCCAATTAGTCCCTAGGTCTTTTTGTGTTAAGTCCTTAGGGTCTTTTTATTTATGTTTTGTTTCAAAAAAGAGTCTAGAAAGGTCCCTAGGGTTGGCTTAATGGGTATTGGGTATTGGGCTAAGAATTGGGCTCTAAAACTCTTAAAATTGTGATCTAACACCTTAATTGACTCTTTTTAAAATAAGATAGAAATACTACACAATGTCAAAGCTAATCCTAATTAATTAAACTAAACATGAAACTATTTTTGTGTTTTGGAAATTATATAAAGATAAAAATAAGATATTATTTTTGTATATTTTTTAAAATTTATGAAAAATACATAAACTAAAATATATATATATATTTTAATTTTTAATTTTCTTGTAATAAAAAAAAAGTAAAAGAGTCAAAATGAGTTGAAATAGCTATATTAGGCCTAAATTAAATATTTACGTGCTAAAATATAAAAAATCTTGGGGAGGGTCAAAAATCACATGTTTACAGCTGCCCCTCTTTGACTGGAAACGCGAAGAGTTTTCAGACAAAGAATGACTAGACAGGTTTTTTGACTTGACCCTTATTTAAAGAGTCCAAAACTAAGAGAAAAGGGGAATGTGATCGAGCCCTGGTATCTGAGCTGCTTACATATCCTTGGCTATAAAGGAATCAAGTCATGTGTAGTTTAGAGGTGAGTGAGGCGATGGAGTATACCGAGGTGGAGAGTCGGTCGAGGTGCCGTTCCGCCGAGGTTCCGGTCCGCGGTCCTGATGTTACATCAAAAATCAAAACATGAAAAAGACTAGTTAAGCCTATCAACTATGAGTTACAAGAATCCTATCTATAAGTCTTCTGAAGCTTGATCTTGAGTCTTGAATGGTTCTTCATGCAGACTTTGGATTTGAACCTTAACGCTTGCTAGTTGCAGGTGCTAGCTCGTTCTTCTTCAGCCTTTTGGATCAAAACCGGGCATGCAGTGCTTGTGACCTCAGCCATGTCTTGAGCAGCCCACATCTTTCATCAACTTCTGCATTTGGATTAACTTCTTGCCATTCTTTCTTTTTTCCTTATTGTGACTAACTTCTGTTGATCACCTCGGACTGTTGACTCGCATTCTTGCCACGAGCTTCTTTTGTTGCTAACTTGAATTGTAATCTGAGATGCTTTCCCTTATTCTCCAGGTGGACGCCTGACGGCTGAACTTGAACCATATTCCCTTACTCTCCAGGTGGGTTCATGATTGCAAAAACTTCAACTGTATTCCCTTGCTCTCCAGGTGGGCGCTTGATTGTTGAACTTGAACTGTATTCCCATGCTCTTCAGGTGGGTGCCTGATTGCTGAACTTGAACTGTATTCCCGTGCTCTCCAAGTGGGTGCCTGATTGCCAAAACTTGAATTGTATTCCCGTGTTCTCCAGGTAGGCTCCTGATTGATGAACTTGAATTGTATTCACGTGCTTTCCAGGTGGGCGTCTAATTGCCAAAACTTAACTGTGTTCCCTTGCTTTCCAGGTGGGCGCCTGATTACCAAAACCTTAGCTGTATTCCCTTGCTTTCCAAGTGGGCGCCTGATTGCTGAACTTGAACTATATTCCTGTGCTATCCAGGTGAGCGCCTGATTGCCAAAACTTTAACTGTATTCCCGTGCTCTCTAGGTGGGCGCCTGATTGCTGAACTCGAACTGTATTCCCGTGCTCTCCAGGTGGGCGCCTGATTGCCAAAACTTTAACTGTATTCTCGTGCTCTCCAGGTGGGCGCCTGATTGCTGATCTTGAACTTCTTCTCCCTGTTCTCCAAGTGGGTACCTGATTTCAACAAAAATAGACAAAGCATAGAAAA